GAGTTAAGTAAACGAACATCAACATTAGAACTTATTCTCTTGTATTTCAGTCACAGCTAGAATTAATTATATGTATGCTAACTATGCTGACAAATACAAATCGGACTCACTAAAACTACACACCACAAATGTTGTATTTGCTATGACATATCAATTTTTTATTTAGTTTTACTGATACGACCATTAGATTATGTAATATAGTTTAGAATGTAGATATTTGAAATTTCGGAAGGACTTTTAACTCATTTGGTATGCAGACTAAGATCAAATAGACATTTGGCTAGATCTAAACCTCTCTTAACCCGAATTTCGATATAATGTCAGGTACGTCCAATAGCGACAATTAACTTTTCTTTTGTCACCAGTTGTAGATGGTCTCTAGTTCAACTGATGCATTTTAATCTTAATTTCTTGATTCTCGATAAAAAAATGTTCGGTTTATTGAGCGCCAAATTAACCTTCTGCAAATATCTCTGTTTGTCATAACTTTTTGCGAAAACAAAGTACGAACCTGGAATGTACGATTTACTCTCGAACCTTAGAGCAAAACAAACACCTGCCCTCTCCCAAACGGTGCCTATTATTTTTTAGCAGAATAATACATCTATTAAAAGAATTAAAAAATCGTGTCCTTACTGCTTCGATAATTGCACGAAGATTAATTAAAGTAAACGTAATGACTAACCATCATTCGATTGTTTTGAAATACCACCCATAAAACCGGTGAAAGAACGCCTCTCAGTATCATCTGGAATTCACGTAACACGTAATCGACTCCTCAATAATAACAACTTATAATTGCCGACGATTATGATATTTTTATGTTCGCATTTATCGACAGTCCGCACGAGCTGCTAACCATCCCAGCAGAGAGAAATGTTTATGGTAGAACATTTTAAAATAACCCTGTTTACAGCGAACTAATTTCAAGCGCAAAAAATATCAAATGAAACACGCCTGCAAAGAGGGCGAATTCTACGAATCCGCTGAACCATGAGAATTACACTTTAAAACAATTGAAACATCTATTGGGAATTGTCAATGTCACCTTTTTCGGTTATTCGGAAATTGGGCGGTTTCGGCAGCTGAAATAACTTTCATCGTTTAGGTTTCAATCAACATTAATAGAAAATGCCTTTAGGCTTGACCCCGCGGTTCTTACGGAGGTCAAGAATCAATTAAAATTACTAGTTATAAGGCATCCCACACGCATTGCTGCTTCTAATAATATTTTCTTAATGAGAGCACCACTTAAGGAAATTGAATGTCGCCTTCGTGAGCCACGAACGATTTGATAGTTCTTCATGAAATGGACGCTAATAAACAGTGTATATTTGATTTCATGACAGCTAAAGTTTCGTTCGTACCTTCAGAAAAAGCTGGTATAACACGGTCATCAATGAAATTACAAGAAATGTTTTTGACAGAGTGTAAAGGCGAGAGGAAAACAATCAACAAAATTTCTACACCTATTTAAAGTGCAATTATAATTAACAGTAATTAAAAACTGGGCGTACTTAGAAACTCTCATGAATCTCGCAAAACTCCCTCTATTACTTTTTGGCAAAGAATCGCTCTTTAAAGTTATTTGCAACATTACAAAAACACCCTGTATATTAAAGCTGTATTTAAAGCTATTTTAAATCTGTATTTAATTTATTTTATTTTAATACATTTTTACAAGCAAATACTTTTTTTGACTTAATACTGAATTTAAATACAGATTATTTCAAATTGTAAAAACAGTCGTGCAAATGTTTTCCTCATTTAGAATACTCTGATGACCATCGTAAAATGAAACGTCGTTTATTTTATATGACAGAATTCGCTACTAAAATGTCCATTGACAAAAATGGTTTATAATCGACATTATTTTCTAAACGTCAAAATTAAAATACAAAAAAAAATGTAAATATGAAATTGTAATTAAAACTTTAAATCGAGCTTTAAATATAAACAGCATTTATGAAAATGCATGCAATTCGCGTAATTAAAAAGAATAATAAATTTTATTACACCAACTAATACGATTTTCCCAAATTTATGTTTTCCAAGCATTTGGAAGTTCCAAACGTATTTGAAAGTGTACAAAGCTGTAAATTAATTTATATACAGAACCTTTTATACACAGGCTGTGTCCTAAACAACGCCTCAAGCCATAACTCCATTATTTAGTGATTTTAAAAAACAAAAAATCAAACTAAATGACTCTAATACACTATAGAGGGAGCCTATTAGAGCTTATTTACTATTCTTTTTTTTTGAAAATTGATAGTCAACTTTTTTTTCAAAGTTTTTTTGTTATAGCTGTTTTACATTGACAATTTATTGATCAATTAATTCATGAAGTCGCTTCAACAAGAAATTGGACAAGTGTAATGCACCAAATCAGCTGTCAAATAACTTCATGAATTTATTCATCAAGTTCTTGACGAATTAGAGCATGTTCTAATTTTCGTCAATTTCTTCGTGAAGTTCGGAAGTACCAACCCAACAGATTTCCAGCCTCAGATCAGTAATGAGGTTATATTATTGGAATATGTAAATAATTGTGTGGCGTCGTACTAGTTTTGCATAGTTTTTACTGATTTGTTACTTACAAACACTAATATTTATATATGTGTCAAAACGGTACCGCTGTTGTATCACTACAATTATGAGTGGAAAGGTGACATTTTTGAAATATATTTGCTTCTTTGATTCGTTGGTAGAACTGATTCATGCATCAAAAAACTTGACAAAGTCTGTAGCAGTGTAAAACCACACTGTTTACCAATAAATTCGTGTATTAATTCATGAAGAACTTCGTCAATTTATTATTCATCAAGAAATTGTCAATGTATTATTGTGTAGATTTATTTTCTGAATCCAACGACGTATATTTAAAGCATTTATTACAAAAAAGACGACAAAATATTAGTCGATACCGCATTCGGCGCCCGGTCACTAATTCATGACAAATGTATTTTAACTAATCTGTGCCATGGAAAACAAAAAATAATACAGCAAAGCAAATAAAACTCGGAAGAGAATTTTGTAGTTAACAGAAAAGAAACAATACAATGAACTCGAAAATGAATATCAATTAAAAAAAATCAATTTTGTTCAATGTTTTCATTAAATTGACGTTCTTCTCGCTTTGGTTTCTTAAAAGCACCATAGTTTCTCAAATTTTCTTCAAGTCTTACAAATCTACGTGGTTCTGGAACTTCCCTGTGAGGAAATAGTTCTCTATAAAGTCGGACTCCTGCATCATGTCCGTCAATTGATTATTACTCATATTTTGCACTGTTCAGCTTATTTCAACATACAACCTACTGTAAATGACACAGAAAGAGTATAATACGTAAAAAACTGGGACACGAACGCTAAAATGACATTTACTTGCTTTGTTGTATTATTTTTTGTTTTCCAGGCATACATGATTAGTCAAAACATGTTTGTTGTCAATTAAGCGACCGGGCGCTAATAATGCGGTATTGACTAATATTTTCATGCTTTTTCTGTAGTAAATCTTTCACAAAAGTAAACGTTATATACCTACAGCGTTGAATTTAGAATAGAAATCTGCACATAATAAATAAAAAAAAACTATATTGCCATTTAAAAAAAAACATAAATACGCTCCAATAGGTTCACTCTATACTGTATTTAGTCATTTCACATAATTTTTTGTTTTTTAAAATCAGACTATAAATGACGTACCTAGTTATGGCTTGCGGCGTTTTTTAGGAGACAGCCTGTATAAATGATTATAAGCCACTGACCAATAATTAGTTTGAAACAGTAAACAATAAGATGAAGTTTACATTAAAACACAGCATTATTCTGTTTTACCGGCTGGTCAACAATGGTTTGTCATTGTTCATTGTAAACGAATCATTAACCAGTCCTGCAATGCTGGTTGCCTAAGCTCGGTGGTCACGTGGCTTGTGAAACCTTTATGAAAATTCTGTATATTTGTCAGGTACTTCATCATATTTATGTCGATTTTTATGTATCTAATTGTAGTTTTTAAATCCTTTTTTGTACAATTGTATTTTCTTTTATAATTGTCGTGAAATTTCAACAAAATCTTTTTATCAATTGTTTTTCTGAGTGTATACTCTGATTTCACATGACTTTTGATGTATGTAATACATAATATGTAAACATTTCGCCTCATCTTAACAATAAAGGTGTAAATTCTAATTAAAAGAGAATTATGGATCACCCTGTAGGTACATTTAAGCTTCAGTGTATTTATCTATGCTGTAGACGTCGTTTATAAACATACCCAACTTTCAAGCGAGATCAGAACGTTTTTCTGCACGAGACTGCCGATAAAAAAATAAATTCGTAACGGTAAACATTAGCTTAGCTGGCAATTTACAAGCAGTTACGAAAGAAAGAACGTGTTCAAAGAAAAAGCTAACTAGATTCATTTCGTTTTATAAGCGGTTTATTTTTACACGGTATGTACCTACGCCTCGAGTCATGCGATACTGCAATATCTAGTAGGTACTGAGATGGATTTTTGCATATTTTAAGGTGGGAAGCCACATTCACGAATTCCTGGAAAGCAAACTCTTGCGATACTTGTACACTTGACATGGAGCTTATTCTTCAGAAATAAAATACTTAGGTAACAATCGAGTTATATGATTTATACAAGTTATTTCACACTTTCCCTGGCGCGTAACTGTATTTAAAATTACTGTTAGTACCGCGAGCTGCAATCGATACAATGCTATTACATTCCCAGAGTATTAAAAAACAGATTCAACCATTCAACGCTCCTCAACTGAATTAAACGCGAGTTACATCATTGCCAGCGTTGAATAGTTAAATACATCTTCATCCAAACCCAAAATTACCCAACTCAAAACGCTGCAGAAATTTGCATAACAACAAACGGTAAACTGTCAGTTTGTGGCGTTTGAAATAAAAATCAATACGAGTTCCCAGAAAACAAGATAACTACCCAAAAGCTAAAGTGTAGGATGAGACTTGAAACTTACACTTCCAAGATCCGGTCTCCCTTCCTGATCCCGGCTTGCTCGGCGGCCCCCCTGTCCAGAACAGCGCTGACATGTTGCAGGGGGGCGTAGAGCTCCCCGTTGATGCTCCTCAGCTGACCACCTTCGCTAACCTGTCCCCTAACGTTGAACCCGAACCCCGTCTCAGTCTTGTTAATCGTTACCACACGGGGTCCATTTGACACTTTCATATTCTCTATTCGCGCACCACTTCTAACGACCGCATCAGCGTCGGCCATATTTTGACGTGACTATCGAGCACGTTTACGTTTTCTTGTTTTTCTACCCCCACCGAGGCGTTAGAGAACTGACCTTGCGTACACGGCTACTGTGACATTTCCATGGAACAACAGTTTCGTTACTCTTTTTAGAATGTTTCTTAACCGGAAGAAGAAGAAGAGTTAATCTGTGACTATAAATGTACAACGGATATCATAATTTTTTGGACAAAGGTAAAGGTAATATGTAGTTTGACATTTCTGTGCAAATACAGTGTCGTCACTAAAAATAATTTAAAAATAAATCAATAATTGTATTAAATATATTAACACAGTTGCAAGTAGAAAACGAAGGACATGTACATAACTATTTCACAAAAATGGTTTCTGTAATAAGTTCCTCTCAAATATATACGTTGTACCAAAGTTTAACCAAAGAATTTCCTGATATTTCATGTTTTTTCGAGATGTGTACAATTTTACAAACAAAAATGTAAGCTTTACGTTTTAGCTCCGCCACCACCACCATTTTCCAAAATTTTTGCCTGCATCTCCCACTTAATATTCAAGAAAGTATTATTTCGCAAGTTATACGTGCAGTGGACGCTATCAAGTTTGTATCTTGGTTTTCTCCCAAATGAGAAATTTTGATATATTTAAAAAATTGTAATAATTTTGCTTGTCTAAAGTAGTAAAGTAAAAAAAATATTTTCAAGATTTTATCAGAAACTAAACATTTCCATGTTGATCTTTATGGAAACATTTTTTTTTCTGAATAGCTCTTTCAACAAGTGACATTTGGTTTATGCAATTCGGGACACGGATAATAAAAATGGAAATGTAATAGAATTTAATGACATTCAGTGCCAACACCTGATATAATAAAGACCGTTGAAAAGTGGAAGTTTAAAAAATTTCAGGAAAATTTGAAAAATTCTTATATTTCTAGATTTATGAAAATTCCTGATAATTTCATGTTCTTTTGATATTCCAGACTCCAGATTAGTACACACCTCATTATCGGCCAAATAGGTACATCGCTTTACTATACACTCACACTGAACATAAAAATTAGGTCATATAATAAAACTACCCAGTTCAACAGCTGTAACAGGAAATTTCTTTTCTACATTTAAGTTCAATATATTTTTTTTTACTGAATAGAATCTCGAGTCCAACAAAATCATTTCACAAACACTTTATTACTATTTCATCAAACAACTGTAAATCATGATATTAATACATGATATTTTTAAATAATCTTTAGATGTAGAAGCCTATATGAACGTTTAAAACACCAAACATGTACGAAACGAAACGATGGTTTCAATTCATGATGCCAAACTATGCAATGAAATATATTTGCAATAAACAAAATTTTTCTATGTGCAAATGGCTCCATCTATAGCCCTACTTCCCAACTACTCCAATCTAGACTGACCGACATTGAATTATACTCGCAACACCTAGTACCTAGTACAACAGCCCACAGAGTAGTTGTTTCTTGCAACACTGGCATTTTAAAATTTTTCTAATTTACTTCATAATTTCACAATTGAGATAGTTTCGTACTATTATTATTATGTTTCAATCCTACATTTGAGGATAACGATATGGGTAGTGGTAAAAGGGTAAAAAAAAGGAAAAATAATTGCAAATTACATACTTTTATTTCAATATTACAATAAATGTGATGTTCCAAAATAAAATAAAATAAGATAAAATGTAACATTGAACGCCACTACGAGATGGCCATGAGAAATCTTGTGCAGAACAATTATTACTGAATTGTGACTAGAACTTATATTACTTTGGTCTTAACAAAACGAAAACAGTAAATTAAAAAATGTTAGTAGTACAAAAACGCTAAGAATATACATATTCCCAGAAAATTGTGAAGAACAATATCAAAAAAGACAAAAATTTAGCTGCTTCTCTCACTATAACTAATATAAAATTTCGAAAGCAACCTATTCGATGCATATCCTAACATTAATATTGGATGTTCTACTGGAGACGATTAATAAATATAATAACAAAGAGAAGGTAAATGAGAATTTTGCGATGGCACAAAAAAGTCTTATTAAAGCGTACACCTAAACATTTGTTACATTAATGTAATTGACGTATAAAAATATGATATTTTATATAGGTTCGTTAAATAATCATTTGGCAGTCAAAAATAACACATAATACAAACAAATGCCTCGAATGGAATAATTGCCAAGTTTAGATGTACAACTGTGGACAAAAATTATTTCCAACCTGTAGCACTTGAAGGTGTTTAAAGAACGAAACTAATACTCCTTTTCCTTTTTAGGTCGGATACTTTTTACTGTCCATAGCTGTACCTGAAATCTTATTCAAAATAAATGCATAATAAAAGTGTTTAAAATAACTCCAAATTATGCAATTCGTTAGTTCACTTCCTGTACTAAAGAATCTTGTTAGTTGTTACTCAGAATTTCAGTATAATGGCGATTTAATTAATAAAAGTTCTTATAATATTCTAGTATATGAAAAAATGTGTAACAAGTAGTTTCTAAACTTGGCAACCGTAAACTTATATCAGAATCACTAAACCTGATACATTTTTGGTAAAAAAAAAACATTTAAAAAGCTAAAAAGGGTTAAATCAGTACTATAACTAGATATAATAAAATATTTTTGAGTATGAATGATTATAAATTAGTTCTTGTAGAATACAGTTCTTTTACATCTAGTTTTTAATTTGGTTTTTGATCAGATCGTTATGTCATAAACGTGTATTAAAAATATGATGCTTTATCACAAGTTCAAACAATCATATAAAGGAGACTTTTTGCTTTGCTTTTCACGTTTCACGGTGCTTGAATTAAAGAAAAAATATTAGAAACGTGTTACACCATACCAAAAGAGTATGCATTATTAAATTTTGCCTAACTCGTTATTTTTTATACTTAGATTGATTACATCGGGTAAAAATTACTTAGTATCCAAATATAAAACACCTTAACTAGAAAACAGCTTAAAGTTTCAGTGGCAACGGTTCTCTCTAATTCTCAATTTGATTATCTTCCAGGTAAAAGGTGAAATAAAATAGTCACATCCACAAATCTTTTTTTATGTATGTATATAAATATTCTTAAAAAGTGTCATCACTTAAAGCACAAAGCAATGAAAAATTTTAGGATTTCGTAAAAAGTCTTTCTTTCAACTTAAAAATAAGAGAATTTTTCGTTGTGTGAGGTCGCTCGAAACAAAAATCCACACTTAAATTCAAAAAACTTTACTAAATGCCCTGAATAATACCTAACAGTAGAGAAAAATCAGTTCACTTGTGAAAAAAAAAGGTATATGTCGGTAAAAATTGTCAAATTTGAAAACATCTCTCATTTACTTAAATTCCAAGTAATCGAAACAAAATGATTTTCATATCACACATTTCAAACATTGCAGTAAAGAAACAAAGTCAAACTTAAAATAATCTTTTAGAAAGAAATGTTTTCAAACCGACACACTCAAATAATTCAAAGCAACCATTTGCGACTTACTAGAAATTACATGATGAGGCATTTGCGTTGGCGTCGTTTTTGAGGTTCGGGCCGCAATACCGCACGAACCGCCTCGTCAAAAACCTGCTTCAATCCCCTCTGTGTTAACGCCGAGCATTCCATATATTTCACAGCTCTTATTTTATTGGCCAACTTCTGGCCTTGTTCTCTCTTGATAGGGCTCAGCCCCTGGTCAGCCAGAGCATTCAAAGTCTCTCGGTCATCTCTTAAATCTATTTTCGTACCTAAAATTACAATATATCACTGTTAATTTGTCTTAATATTTAATCACTTACCAACTAATATCATAGGTGCATCTGGACAATGGTGTTTGATTTCAGGATACCACTTAGAAGTAACATTTTCAAATGAGGAAGGCGAAGCTACACTAAAGCATATTAAAAAAACGTCCGTCTGTGGATACGACAAGGGCCTTAATCGATCATAGTCTTCTTGGCCTGCAGTGTCCCACAGACCCAAGCTTACCGATATTCCATCCACTACCATAGGGGCAGAGTAGTTGTCGAAGCTAAAACAATCTTATTAATTAACACACAAGGCTGCTTAGAACTGCAATATCGTGACTTACACAGTGGGTACATATTCTCCTGGAAAGCTATCTGTGGTGTAAGATATTAACATACAAGTTTTCCCTACGGTCCCATCTCCAACCACAACACACTTTATGGGCCGGCCCGATGACATGTTTACAATTTCCTACAATCATGACAAGATTAAAGACATAACCTAAAAATTATGGGCAGGGCCGCTGACCTACCTTTAAAAGTGTAAAAAATTTCCTTAAATGCCAATATATTTAAATATTAAAACTAAAATAAAGGTCTTTCGTTGCCAAATGATTGTTTCATCTAATAATTTAGCTTTTCTCTTCACATAAAATTCTTCGGCTGTCATATATGGACTATAAATATCATTAGAGAAGTTAGCCTTTTTTTGATTGGCAACTTGTATTTTACAAATATATAAGTTGACATCAGCCGCGTCCTTGTGAAATGAACTGAACGGAGTAGTTCATTTGTTCTCCTAAGCAGTTCTGCCAATAGTAAAGGAAAAAGGTCATTGACTTTCAAAAAAATTGGTATTGGTATTGGTAACCTGCAAATATGTAGGGGTGTACAAATCACCTAATTCAAGATAAGATATAAAATAAAAATCATAACTTTTAAACGTAAGACAGCATAAGTGCCACTTGATCTTAAAAATCAAATTCAATGCGATGAGATTTAACTGTCACTATGCACATTGCACAACCTGATACAACGTTTCATAATACTTCAGCAAATTTCGAGTCCCGTTTACGCATGTATTTTTCCGCTGACGTCAGTTAATGTTAAAATCTGAGGTTTATGAGAGGACGGCGGTCAATCTGGGATTGCATTTACGAGCGATCTGATCGACATTAGAGAAAAATATCAGTGTTCTTTATCCTTTTCTCTTTATTTCGTCCGGGAGGTCGGAAAAAAAATTAAAGGGAATTCAAATCCTATGAAAATGCTGTTCAAAAAAGTGACTCACGTTATTTTTGATATGGATGGACTTCTTATTGGTAAGTTACTATTTTCTAAAAATATAATGCAGTTCTCGATAAATATTGATTTTTTTTTCTAATACAGATATAAAATTTTATCTTAAATTTAACTATTTGTTCATGAAACTATCATACATTTACAAGAAATCCATTTTAACATATATAATAATAGATTATTGATTTTAGAGTCCGAGTCTGTGTATGATAAAATTATGAATGACATAGCAGCAGTATATGGTAAAGAATATACCACAGACATTAGAGTGAAAGTTTTGGGAACCCCAGAAAAGGACACAGCCAGAATAGCTGTCACAGAAATGGGACTGCCCATTTCACCTGAAGAATTCCTAATAATTTACAAAGAAAAAGTACACAAGGAGTTGCAAAACCCAGTTCTAATGCCGGGAGCTAAGGAACTGGTCAAACACTTTTATAAGAACGAGATACCAATAGCAGTGGCGACATCTNGGTATTGGTAACCTGCAAATATGTAGGGGTGTACAAATCACCTAATTCAAGATAAGATATAAAATAAAAATCATAACTTTTAAACGTAAGACAGCATAAGTGCCACTTGATCTTAAAAATCAAATTCAATGCGATGAGATTTAACTGTCACTATCATAGATAAAATATATATATAGGAAATAGATAGGCAACTCAATGTAAAAACGCATTAAATACGCCATCGGTGTCTGGAGTGAGAAACAATTTCAAGGTCAATTATTGCATACACGAGGGGAATAAGATAAGTTCATTGAGAATAAGGGGGCATACGATAACTTCTCGATATATGCATAGGATAATTCACAAACAATGACAAAAAATGAAACATCGTATATTTTAGTGAATTTTAAGGAGGCTCTTTCCTATAGTTTTTATTTAGGGCGTTTCATTAAAAAGATACAGGGTGTTAACTTATTTTTTTATATATTTTAAAAACTAGTAAGTGAAATAATTTGAAATTGAGCATACGAATTTATCTAAATATTGCACAAAATGTAAAATATTTTCTAAAAAAATAGATGCTTCAGATTTTGTACAATGTTTACATAAGCTTTGTTCGCGGAGCCTGTCAAATTGGTTCGGGATCGGTCATACAGTCGCCCGGCTGCTTTCTGTGCTATTTCCCACAAGCATAGTATAAAGGAAGTGGCTGGGCGATTGCTTCTGACTGGTCCCGTACTGGCTTCAGCTTCTCCGCGAACAGAGCTATAACTCCATGTGCCTAATTTAAAATAATTTCACTCATTAGTTTCTAAAATGTTATAAAAAATTTTAAATATTAGTTTAACACTGTATCTTTTTAATGAACCTAGATAAAAACTTTATACGAAAAACCCATCTTAAAATTCATTAAAGTATACGAGGTTTCATTTTTTGTCACTGTTTGTGAATCACCTTCCACTTCATCGTTTAGTAAATTGATGTCCTTGGCAATTTTTAAAGGACATTTCTTCATTTACATTATTACGTTCTCAGAAAATTCCTTAAATTAGGATAATGTTATTACTTGGGGACAACAACCAACAATAGTGAAAGTATTTTAACTTTAAAATGTTTATTTAAAAAATTTCCTCAAAATGTATATGCCTAGATGTTTTTTAGATAGAGGAAAATGCAGACAAAACCATGAAAGGGGTAGTTAAACAGTGACTAATTAATGTAAAAAGTGTATTTTTTTTAATACATTTTATTTTTATTATGTACAAAAAAAATATTTGTAAATACAATATAATCTTAAATTATTTTATATTTTTCATAGCCCTAATTTTAGTTGCTGCGCCTTTGTGTTTTAAATATTTTTTGTGGGCGAGAATCTTAATAGGATCCTGATACTGGTTAGAAGTATCTTTACCTCTAAGAATTTTATTAACATTCTTGACCCACGTATTCATGTGAAATTTACTAACATAATCATATAAAATGGACAGTATGTCGTGATGTTTGCATGTAAAACTATTCTTAAACTCTTCAGAAGCCTCAAGATTACATTTTAAATTAAAGACAACATCACCTTTGTGACAAACAATAGGTACGTAATTTGTTAAAATGTCTACTGTTCTATGGAAAACATTATTGAAAACTGTATGTGGAAATAACAAAGCTTTACTACTGTAAGCTTTAGCTTTAATAATGCTGACAGAAGCTTCACTAAGTCCAGAGCTCTTTCCAATTAATTCTGTCCTACATAATTTACATTTTACTTTTTTTAAAATTTGCTTAGCTATGTATCCTGCTATATATGTAAGGAGACCTGATTCGAAAGGCCTTAATGGAGGATTTTCTAGTAGCAATACCTCTACAGGATTTGGTACAACCTCAATTACTTTAAAAAAAAATGCAAATTATTTAATACACCCAAACTAACATTCACAACTTTTGTTTTGGGAAGATTGTGTATAACATTATTCATTTATTAATGATTCAAATGAATTCTTGAAAGAAAGCAGCATCAGCATTTACATTTCGAATACCATGACTCCTAATAAAAAAAATTACTATCATGATTAAACTTTCTTCTGCATACAAATGTAAATCCTGAATTTAATAATTTTGTTATTAAATATCGGAAACCCTTAAAGTGTGCATCCAATTACCAATAGTAGGAGTGAAATTCTTCCTTTTCGAATTCGAACATTTCATACTTAAAAAAACTTGTATGGCTTCTCTCCAGTGTTCCAAATGACCACTTTTTTTAGTTGCAGCTGTCCTTAATGTTTTTCCTCCTTTTGGTGTGATTCGAGAACCATTTAGACTGTCAAATGTTTTGTCTATGAAGACAATAAATTCAGCTGTATCCATAGCATTAGATTCAATTGTGTCCCCACCTATAACTAAACATAGTTGAAATTAATATTAACTTCTTTATATATAAAGCAGTATAGATATATTATATTGGCTTCAAAATGATGTGGCATAAAATCTGCTACTTTTTTTACCTAATAGGTACAGAAACTGAAATTATAATCTTATTAATTTTTTGGTGACGTCTTGTTTCTGTTTAAAAAATAATTTAAGATTTTAAAATAATATCTGCAAGTATTAAAACAAGTAAATTTATTGCCTCACTGTTACTCACAACCAAATTGAATTAAAAATTACAACTAAAAGTAAATAATCTTACCTAGCCTCGATATCGCTTTTATCGCTGCTGCTACTCTGCAACTCAGGACTTGTGCAGCTATGCTAACTTTCATTTTTTTCGTATTGTCTATATGCGCATCTGTTAATTTGTGGCACAACCTATATTCCATTGCAGGATCTTCTAATTCATACATTTTTTGAATATGTTTCCATTGTGCCATTTTATTTTCACCATTTCTCCATGTATATGTTATCACATTGTCAAATAGAAGGTTCCTAATACATTTCAGTAAATGTGGAACATCGTAAAGTGGCACAACTTCTTCTTCATCAATTTCAAAACCGAATGTTCTTTTCTCTTGGTTTCTCCGAGCATATTCTGCTTCAGTCTCCTTATACAAATATTTAATAGCTGAACGATTTGTAGTCCCTTGGTCACATACAGTACATATAACCTACAATTCAAATTACTTAGTTAACATCAAACTACTACTACTACTACTACTAAGTACTTACTTTAAAACCAGCCTGCCTTGTTCTTCGGATGACATCTTTCAGTGACTGAATTAAAACATTTGTTTTCATTGCTCCCTCGTTAAAAAAATATGCAAGCGGTTGTTTCCATTTTTTATAGACACCTCTGGCCATAAAAACCATAGCTTTATCAGCAAATACAGGTTTTCTTTCACAGCCATTATCCTGAAAACCCTCAACAAAATCGTCTGATGAATTATAATATAGTCCGGGTTCTAAGGCCATTTCGTCAAATACTATAGAACAATATTTATCCTTGGTATCCAACGAGGCACATGTTTTTTGCAAGGCAGAAAATATATGATCATTAATCCCAGTTTTAAATGGTATTTGGTGAAGAAAATTTGAGAGTGTTCTCTTAGATGGAAGAGCAAATATCTGTCTTAGCAACTTGTAGCCTCTTGGGCTTTGCTTTTGAATTGACAAAGCAAACATTTTGTCTTCCAAAGAAAATCGTCTGCCTCGGGGTGCAATCTTTTGCAATTTTAATTGTGACAATAGAAAATTGAATGTGTGCTTATTCACCATTGCTTTCATAAACTCTGGAGATTTTGACAGTTGTACTGCTTTCTTCAGTCTATCCCTAGTCGACATTAGTTTCAAATGCTCTCGTTTTGACTGTTCTCTTAACTTTATAGCATATTTGTAAAGAACTTTGGATTTTGGCGATAGGTCTTGTACCTTTTTCATTCCTATTTTTTTTAAAAGTTGGCCCCCCCTTCCAACTGCCTGACATTTTGGGTATGGCATGGATTGGTCAACATCTGGTAAGGAAGGTGATTTCGTTCCTCTTGTGAACAATACAACACTCTCATCAAAAGCTGATGATGTGGACGGACTTGGTTCTACAGGATCACGGTTCTCTTTATCCTCTGCAATATAAAATATATATATATATATA